ATTGCTTCCGCAACTTAGCCCTTATTGTTCGGCTGCGAAGCCCGTCAATGAACAAATCTCTCCCTAGTTGCTCACCGCGCTCAGTTTTCACGAACATTCTATAGAACCGGTTTCGATATTCTGCAACGGATTCGAGAGGTTTTTGTACTCGGTCCTTGATCATGTACAGTGCTTGCTCGGGGTGGACATAATCAAATCGGTTCATGAAATCCCATTCGAAGGTCGGGAGATCAACCCACAGTAGGTACTATACCAATGATGAGCGTCTCCTCCCATTCAAGCTGGAATGTTAGTGTGTGCTTCGTGATCATCGTACTGCTGTACTCTGAGTGTGGCAGGCCACGCTCCTGCGAGATGGTGCGTTTGATCAAACAGATAGAGATCAGGTGGTGTCATGGGAGCTCGTGCACATGGGGCGGGTTGATTTGGTGGATTAGCATTCAGTTGCGGAATCGGGTTTGGCACATTGGCAGCCATATTGGATGCTCGTCGGTTAGTCGATCTGCTTCGAGTGACGATAGGGTCGCGTGGATGCGCGTTCCGAGGGCGAGGTCGCCCACGGTTAGCCTGGTCGCCTAATTAACGTGCTATCAATCCTAAGACCCTAGCCACGTGTCGGTCTTCGATACCAACCTCACGCCCGGCGCGACTTCCTGATCGGAGTGGGATGTGGGCCTGGAAGTGCGAAAAGGGGTGTGCCAAGGATTTTTGGGAAAAGTGGGGGAGTCTTAAGGGTATGAATGCAATTAGACAAGCAAGGGGCGCGTGGGACTCAAGGCCMKATGKGACCSGGSTACTGTGGACGRCGGTTTGCGGGGAAGTCCCTCYGCGGAGGAGGCGGTCYCGAAAAGTTGGGCCGTCGRGGGCCRCCACGTGGCGCAGGCCGCTGYGTATTTGGGTTGGGCMTTYGGAATTCCGGGGTTCTCYGCTYGCCKCTACRTCTGCARTTCCCGSAAGGCGTGCTGGGCCAATAGGGGGCTATGGCCGGCCAYGKAACGACGCTAAGTTGATGATACGGGAGAARGAGGCGAAAAGGAGGGAAACGGGTGGTGATGACGACAAATCCCGGGTGGGTGAAGTAGTAGGTATGATCGGGGGAAGGGAAATCAGAACACCGGGGGTCGCTACTGGTGGCGCAGTGGAATTCCCGCGGACACAGTCSATTCTCCGTGTGACAGGGGTATCRCAGCCTTAGGAGTTCGTTTATCCAAGGGGTGAAGTAATYCGGGTCGTAGGATGAGTCTRAGCTCCAAGATCGCGTCATGGTATCATCGTGTATGGGATGRCTCTGGTCGGGTTATCGTCACCGCGCACGAGCACGTGTAGCACGGGCGAACTTAGTTGYGCCTCAGCRTGCTCGTGCGGGATGATGGTTTTCGCCGCGAATCTGTTTGGGTGGGTGGTCCGACGCACGGGGAGGYRTGTAAACGCRCGATTCGGATCGTGTTTACACGTGTCTTCGCGCGGCGTTCGCAGGGCCCGACATCGGATTGTCTAATGGCTCCGTTATGCGAGATGCAACCACACCCCAACCCAAGCAACAACGAGAACAAAATCGCTATCGGGGCCCAGTTCTTATCCTCTCTACAGCTGTATAAGGTGCATGCGATGATTCGTCATAAGTAAAAGCAAGGAAAAGGATTTTCAGCGAAAGATAGACAAGCAGGCATAGCATCCATACATCCATACATTCAGTAATCATACACATAATGCAATCGAGACGGAAATCGCAAAGACAAGTGTGAGCAAAAACCCAAGTCCAGATTCCAGAAAGTCGAGACGAAAAACAAGAACGGGCAACCGCCCGGAGCCTCAATCAAAATGTATGTACACAGATGAAGAGGGGGAAGAGACAAAGAAACAGCAAACCCGTGTCCATCAACCTTAACTCTCTCTCCTCCTCTTCTCTCTCTTCTTCGATGCGGACAGTCCGTCGTCACGCACCAACCCACGAAGTCGTCACCCTGATTAGTCCTCCCGCACCCGTCGGATTCGCCCGTGCCCACAGTCTGTCGTGGCCCACGTCAATCCCACGCGTTCGGCACCAGCCCGTCGGGTCGCCCAACTCCTACTCTACTCACCTCTTTCCTCGCTCGTGTGTCGACGCTTCCTGATCCCGCAACCTCGAGCTTCCAACAACGGGTTAAGAGAGGTAACTAATCGCACAACTGGATTTTATAGCATGCATGCATACGCGAAGAACACGAAATTACCAAGACTTAGAACGGGGATTAGAGAGGGAGTGCCTGTGTTCTGCATGATCAGGCTGCGACGTGGGGGACGTAGCCCTTCTCCACGCATCGATCCGAGCATGCAAGCCGCGACTTACAAAAATCACAGCAAAAGAAAGAGAGGGAGGGCGGGAGAGATGAAGTGCAAGAAGAAAGATACAGTTACGATAGCGCCCGCCCAAAATTACAGTTACACACGCGATTAAGGGCGCCCACTAATCCGAATACCGTTGCAGCCGCATGAAGAAGCGCGTAGACAAAAGGCGCCGCGTGGCAGAAAAATCCTAATTACTGAAATCCTAAATTCCTATCTAATGCGAAAAAGCAAAAAGCACGAACTTCAGGGGGAAAGTCCGAAATTCCGAGAGCTATTGGGGCTCGACAAAATTCAAAAAGAAAAATTTAAAAAGAGCGAGGCAAATTCCCGTGCGATGTCCGTGCCCAAAAGACCAAAACGGAAATGGAAGAAACGACGTCAACATTTATTAGTCGCGCGAGCGGTGGCGCGCCAGCCATCAACCGACCAATCAATCAACCGGCCGTCCCCGGACACACCCAGCTCCGAACCCAGCCATATGAAAAGAAGCGACGAAAAGGATAAAAAACAAGCGCACTGATGCAATTTTCCACCGATCCCGATCTCCCGTAATTGGCCTAACCTTCCCAGCTTAGGACCCCTCGTTGCAACCGCGCAGAAAATCGCGCGTTACAGAAAGTGGTTCGTCACAAGGGTTCTTTGGTTTTCTGAGATATTGCACTCGGGTGTTGTGAGAGAGTTGAAACACACAATTGTCACTCCATTCACGTACTCAATTGCAAGTTCACACAATGGTTTATACACATAATGTCGAAGACCCTCCCTATTGCTTATCTCTAAGTATCGAACAAAAACCTATGAATCCCCCTTGGAGGCGGCCATGCGCGGCCTAGGCCGCGAGCCCACAGCCATGGCCGCGGTACGCGGCCATGAAAAAATTAAAAATTAAAAAAATTCAAACAATTCTGAAAAAAATAATATGTTATGCAGAAAAATGTACTGAACAACATTTGCCTTGTGGTCATATCCAAAAACTTTATTGAATTTAAAATAAAAAGCACATAAGTTTCATAGTTTTTTCTTGAAAAAAACAAAACAAAACAGCTTTTGCCTCAGGAAAATTAGTTTTTGAATTTTTAAAATTCTAAAACGAAGTCAAAAAATAAAATAAAAAATTGGGCAATTTAGATCTCGAAAAGATCTACAACCCCATATTTTTTGTTTTTGTTTTTTTTTTCAGAATGCTTTAAAGTCTAAAAAAATTCCTGAAAGTCGCAGCCGCACCCAACTGCGGCCGGAGCCACGGCGGCCGTGATAACGGCCGCCCTCCGAGCTTGATCCCGCAGACGCGTCTGCGGGTGTTTTGTCGACAAAAACAAGTGTGAACAGTGAACTGCACAAAATCACTAAACGATGTGTTGGTCGTGGAGAACAAAAAACTAAACTACAAAAAAAAAAAAACAAAAAAAAACGGAAGTTTGTACACTGTCAAGGATCCTCATCTGCAGGCGAACGCTGCCCGGACCGATGCAAAGCTCGTCCATGTGTTTGACTAGTGCCACGTGGTCGACCTCTCTGGCGTTGCTCGCCGTGACCAGCAGTGGAAGGCTTAGGATGTTCGTCGAGGTCGTCGTCCATGATGAATCTCCTGCCTCTGGTTGGCCCGACACCTACGGTTGCTAAATCAACATGTCGGCGAGACTCGCGGCGCATAGGCAGACTGTCTGCACCTGAATTCTCCCCCTCCTGGTGTCGATCAATTGACACGTGTAGGGACGGCCTGACTCGTCGACCAACCTCAGGCTCCTGTAAAATGCTGGAGGCCTCTTTCAAACTGTACGTTTGTGGCCGTTGTACTGCCTCTGCATCGACATCGCACTTGCCCTCACATCCACCACGCATGCCACCACTATCCCTGTCTCTATCACCAAACCGCGACGCCACAACATCTCGACGACTCCCGCTCATGGAAACCCCACTCAAACCCGATTGATGACGTGTACTCACCGATGTCACCCGTCCCACCTCGCTCCATGGCCGATCAGTGCGACCGAACAAAATCGTGTCCCTTTCATGGTCGCTCGTGTCTTTCTGTCTATGGGCAGCCGACCTCGGGGTGTGACTACCGCGCAACTGGACATCTACGGTCGAGGGTGACAACGGCCCTTCACCCCCGTGAGAGGGCGCTGCAGTAGAACCTCCAAATGGTAAGCTCGGGCCGGCGTCGATCCCAGTGTAATCCATTGTGTCGTGCGCCTCCAAGTCCTCGGCGGTCATGCAGCCCAGTGCAAGGGTGCCGCGAGGCTGAGGCATATACCTCAACTGTGTCGTCTCCCTAGATGATGCGAAAGGTGGGATCGGAGGTTAGCACATGCCCTTGCCTACACGTCGCTCTACGATCGAGGCGACACCACCTGCACAACGCCTCAGATCTAAAGGAGACGGTGCCTCACCTGGCACCACCGGCCCCATGGCCGTGCGGACCACCAAACTCCTTGACCCCTCTTGTTTGTCTCAGTCAGGTGTACCGATCGCCTCCTCTCTATGTCCAACCCCGCTATCGACCTCTGTATAGCGACCACCCCCAACCGCGGACACCGGATCACCATGAACTCGCTCCTCTACCCCCCCAATCGTAGTGTCTTCCGTGACGTCTTTCCCCCCCCCGGTGCTCGACGCTATCCTATCTGTCTGTGCCAATGGTAAAACATCATCAACGCCCATTGACCTACCCGTCTGTATGTCCTCGAGACCCGGGAACATGCCCACGGCGCCCTCAATAAAAACCGTCGGTAAAGGCATGCCCACGGTCTCAGGCAAAGCATCCTCCGTCCTCTGCTCGTCGTGAAGAGGCTGGTCGGGCACAAGACGCGGGTTCTCGAGTGCCGCGATCCCGGTCTCGTGCAACCCCTGCGGCTCCCCCTGCATCCCGGTTGAAGTCGCTTCGCCTGCATCTGTCCCCCCCTGCGTCCCTGCGAAAGCTGCCTCGACTACAGCTGGCTCCCCCTGCATCCCATCGCAAACCTCTGTCACCGGATCGATGTGGGCAGCCGCCTGTGCGTCAGGGGGCATCTCCGTAAACGTCCTCAACTGTCTTTGTAGCTCCTCCGTTGCTAGACGGGCCAACTCCCGCGTCCTGGGGTCGGCTCATGCCAGGAGGCAAGCTCGGCGATTATCAAGCCTGTCCAGCCTCTCTGCAGATGTCTCTCAAGGGGGCGTGACATCCTCATCTACCTCTACCCCCGTTGGCGACGCTCCTAACTCTCCGTGCATGGCAGGGGTGAAAGTCCCCGGGTGCATGGCGCTGATCTGTTCTAATATGGCATGCATGCCGACACTAAAGTCCCCCGAAGAATCGCTCTCCCCGGGGGGCAGTCCCAAATCACCAAACTGACTAAACCCTCCGCCACCGCCTGTCGATATCCCCTCATCACGACCCCCTCCAAGAGCGTTTGTGTGAACCGCCTCCTCAACTGGACCACGTCCATCTCCTCCTAACGGAACACTATGTCTACTAGTCGGCCCCTACAGATCTCTCTCGTCCCTCTCACCCAGTGAAGGACCGCCTACTAATCTCTCCTCTAATCGTTGTCTCGGGCCCTTCACCAATCTATGCAGTCGGCCTCTGGGGGGTGGGCCTCCATGAAGCTCCTCCGGCGAAAGGGGGAATAATGGCAGATGAGGCCATCACATTGTGAATATGCCCGTGATACTGCCCAAGAAACGCCGCCACCGCAAGATGACTCTGCCCCCTTCGAACGTGCAGATCCATGCACTACCTGCGTATCGACAAAGTGAGGCCTCCGAGACGTAGGCCTCTCTCGCTCAAAAGGGCTTCCGTCACCTTCACCAAGCAGGTCTCCCCCACCACTACGTCTACGGACGTCCTCCGGGTCGCTCCACTCATCAGCCTCCTGTGAGGCCGGATGGGCAGCAGGTCCCGCCCGCTCGTCCTCCCCCTTAGGATCCTCGTCATCACTGTCATCGTCTCTGGGGTAGGGGAACAACATGGCAGCTCGAGTCCCCAAAACCTCTACAACCTCTCCCGGAGGAGCTCTCGACCCACCCAGATCTCACGTCCACGAACGACTCTACCTCTCCCGGTCCTCCTGCGTCCTGCTCGCGTCCGTCCCCTGCCACGACGGTTGAGTCCCGATGCCTCCCTCCATGTGCAACATCGACTCATCGACCGTCCACAGCAATGCAAAGTCGCGGCCAGCCCGTTGGTGAGAGAGAAGGCGGACGTTGGCCGAAATCTCGACCAACTTCACAACCTTCTCGAACTCGAGCTTGTTATGCTTCTTCGTGTGTACATCCTCATGGAAGGCCCTGTTCCTCTCTGCGGGAGAGGAACATGTCCACATGTACATGACACAAAGAGCGATGACCTGCAGCTGTGGGCCGCATTGTCCACACTTCCACCACCAACAACCGGTCTCGTACGTCTCAACCTCGTCGGTGCACCTCTGCGCCTCCCTGTCTCCGTCCCTCCCCCTCCAGGCAATCCCCCCTCTCTGTGTGTGAATGTCGTGCAACTGGGCACATGCAACCTCGTAATCGGGGCTCGCGACACTGAACCAAGTCTGTGCGAGGATGTATGTTTCTGCCTCCTGCACGAGTCTCGCATCGCAGTCGCTGACCACGCCCTCGTAGTACCTTAAGTCTTGCCGACTAGGACAGAGAAGGTGAGCAGCGGCGTGCGCTGACTCCAACATGTGAGCGCACCGAGCCTGCACTTTCAACATAATGATGTGCACAACATCTGGTGGAAGTGCGTGGACCTCCCGAACCACATTGCGGCTCACGTCCTGCGTCCACTGCACAACCCGCGATATGTGCAGCTCTCCCCGGTCCAACCTGCAAAGCATGTCGTACACGGGCTCCATAATGCGGACAAGGACGCCCATGGAGTCCCACCAAGGGCCATGCCGCAACTGTCACCTAACCCACCGAGCCACGTGAGCAACGCTTCTGTCCCAAGGGACCAAACCCAACCGTCGCCGTCCACAATCCTCTCCAATGCCGACCTCACTGCCAACAAACGCTGCATCATAGCGAACACGGATGCAAAACGTGTTTCGCATGGATAAATGAGACCCATATGCGTGCTTCCCCCCTTGAAGATATGCAAGGTCGTGTCGTGCTCCTTAATGAAGTGCACCACCACTCTCCCCCGCACAATGATGTCCTTCGAACATGGACTTGACAAGTCAACGTCTGACAACATATCGTTGCAGACATGCACTGCGCACGGAAGCCACGTGATGCGTCGAAGCTCTGGCCTTTGTCGGGGCCCCTAGAGCATGTTTGCAGTGACGACGTATGCAGAGGGAGAGTCCGTGCAGATGGCATTTACCCACTAAGGACGGTAGTCATCGAACACCTTGATCTAGCGCACGAAAACATCAAGCGCCCTGTCTCGCTCACCCCCCTCGTTCATCGTCCTCACCATCCTCACTCTGCGTGACCCGTTGACAAGGAAGTCAACGATCGGTATAGCATCCCGTGACTTCCTGCCGTCCGATATGATGGTGGCCCCCGTGACATAGAAAGGAGCCCTAACCTCTGCGAGATCACTCGCCACATCGTCTGCTGTGCGGAGAACTATCTCTATGTCAGTTATCTCATTATGCGACGGCCACAAAACCTTCACTCGCCCCGACAAGTCTCTGAAGTGTTTGACCAAGACCTTCCACGACTCGCTCCAGAATACATTGAACAGCAAACGTTGACTATAGAAAAATCTCAACTATGTATCACTCGCGGTCATGAACGCAGGCCTTTTTACCGCACGTGGGTAGGATCCCGACTGCGCGGGCCGACCGCCCGCGGACAAGAACCCCCGACATTTTGTTTGGGGCCTAAAACTGGGCAAAAATAAAATAAAAATATAAGCGTGTAGATAAAAAAAACTCTACAGGCCTGTGTTTTTGAAAACAAAATTGGAACATTAAAAGCGAAATAAATTAAAAAAATAAAAATAAAAAAAATCAAATCAAATTAAACCGCTGATGATTTTTTTTTATAATTATTTTTCGTGTGTTGGGCCGGTGGAAAAACAGTGGCCCACGCACATACACAAACACACACAATCAATTAATCAATCAATCAATCAATCAACGAACCAATCACAATCAATCAATCAATCAATCAATCAATTTGATTACTTGATTGATTGATTGTGTGTGTGTGTGTGTGTGTGTGTGTGTGTGTGTGTGTGTGTGTGTGTGTGTGTGTGTGGGCGCTCGTGCTCGTGCGTGGACGTGTGTATGTGCGCGTTTTCGTGTGTGTGTGTGTGCCCGAATTCGTGTGTGTGCGCGTTCGTGTTTGTGTGTGCATTCGTGTGTGTGTGTGTGTGTGTGTGTGCACGTTCGTGTGTGTGTGTCTGTGCTCGCGTTCTTGTGTGTGCGTGTTCGTGTGTGTGTGTGTGTGTGCGTGTTCGTGTGTGTGTGTGTGTGTGCGTTCGTGACACTGTGTGTGTGTGC